GCCTCAATCTCCAAATAGGTCCTCATCACTTCTATCCTGAGTGACCTCCCAGTCTCCTAACTGGTTGGTTCACCCCTATATATTCCCTGTGGCCATTGCTTCCTGCGGACCAGTGTAACCACAGCAATTCCCACCAGGCCTCCATCAGAATCTAGGGTAACTAGGTAAGAACTTTCCAGGTTATTTAATCTTGAGAATTTAAAAGTTCCCCAGGCCATTCTGAGGCAAAGCCAGGTTTGCAAACTACTGCTCTTAATCCTACCTATAGATAGTTAAGGCTTCTGCACCACCCAGGGAATTTGTTAGAAGTGCAGAGAGACCCAAGTTTGCATTTCAACAATACCCTGAGGTTATTGTAAGCTTGTTAAAAACTGAGAAGCAGGGAGGGGGGAGGGGCTCCCTGGTGGTGCAAAGGTTTAAGTCTCAGCACTATGAAGCTATCTGCAGCCACTGCTGCGTGAGTTTGATCCCTGACCAGGGAGCTGACCCACATGGCACAGCAGACCGCTCCAGTCTCCCCTGCTACTCCCCTCAGCAGTGTATTTCAGTCAATCCACCTGTTCTGCTCCCCACTCTGTCTCTGGTGAGTTCTCTCAACCACTCCCCCCTACCCGCTGCCCTGGCACTTCTGGCCTGCACCCCAGATCTTATGCATAAATTAATAAATCTTTAAACAATAAAATAAGAAAATAAAAGTTGAGAAGCCATGCTCTAAAGGGTAGTCTGGCGATTTATTTTACAAATATTTACTGGATTTTCTCCAAATCAGGCTAGAGGTTGGGAGGTTGGAAGGGTCAAAGGCCAAGGTCCCTGACTTGCAATTCACAGAACCATCAAAATCCATTATTGGCTTAAAATCCATTACTGGCTCCCACACTTTCCGAGTCCAGATTTCTGCACCCAGTCTTCATGGCCCACTGGGATCGTATTTCTTCCATCACCAGCTTTACTGTCTACCACCCACCAGAGGCCAAGATGGACTACTTGCTACTCGTCAAGGCTAACCAGTGTGTGCCCAAGTATACAAGTCTCACAGCCCACTCACACTCTACCCCCACTGCCCCGAGACACTCAGGAGAAATCCCAAAGTCCATCATCACACTCCTTCTTGAAATTATCCAATATTTTCCCTGCTCATATGAAAGAGGCGTTCCCACAACTCTTTGCTCTTACCCTCATGTTATTAATCTCATTCTACTTAAACTCTGCACTCCTGCCGTACCTACCCCAGTAAAGAAAAGACTATGACATTCAGTTTGTCTGCTCAGCACAATAAGCTAATAACTGCACAGCATTAAATCTTCAAGTAATAATATTAATAGTAATGTGTTAAATCAAATTATGGATGATTAAATTAAGTGAAAAATTCATCAATCTCCCTATCTCACACTTCAAAGTCATTTAAAATGAATTCAAGCAGAATATAAACAGGTTGCCTCTCTTAAATCCAAAAATAATAATCCCCAAATCAAATAATATTTTGTATTTTTTATGCCAACAATAAACACTGACCATGCTGAAGATGAATTATGCCTACAGCCAACTACCTTTCTGTCATTGGGCATTTCACCCCACCATAGTCACCATAAAATTTGGAAACACTCCAGATTTGTATTATAATCAATTTAGGAACTTGGAAGAAGAAAGAGTAAAGTGAAGAGAAAGGAAAATAGATCAAAACAGGAAAAAGGGAATGGATCTATACCAAATATCCAGCTGCCCTGAAAGTAAAACTATAATGGCCTGGATTTGTTTTCTAAGAGGATTAAAACACTGGCTAGAATGCCTGTTTCAATGCTACCCAAACTTTGAAAGTTCTGGCCTTTAAATATATCATCTTTTCTTGGATGAGGAAAAACTGTGGCCGTGGAGCGGGATGTCTTGAGGGAGAGAAGCCCACTTTCACACAGGACCACCCCCACTCATAGTCTACTGAGGCACAGAGGTTTGTGATTTTAAAAAGCAAGTTGCATTTTTGCATTTATACAGTTTATTTCAGCCAAGGCTTTGCATTTTGGACACACAATCTGCCAAGCAGATTTGTTTGGGCAAATCGACTTAAATATCCCGACCACCTTGGGCTCTCTAGATTACACTTCTGCTCTAGCACCTGAGCAGATCTCTGACACTCCGCCCAGCACTAAGGTGACCGACCCCCCTGAGCATCTCCAGGTCACCTCGAGGAGCAAGAACAGCCAATAGCCACCGGCAGGGTTTGGTGAAGATAAGCAGCAAATTCACAGGGGTTAGATCCTCCTCCTCCCAGACTTTTGTTCAGGGCAGCGGAGGGGGGCCCTTGTATTCGCGCCCGGGACAGCTCTGGGACCCATACTGGCACTGACCCCCACGTCAATCTCCGAGTAGTTCTCGTATCGGGGGACTCTTAGTGTCCCCCGAAACGCCCCTGCGGGGGCTCCTGGTCCGGACCGCACAGGGGGATCTGAGGGCGTGGGGATTGCCCACTGACCTGCGCGCGGGGCTCCTCTCCGGGCGGCTCAGGTGTGCGGGCCTCTCCCGTGCCCCCCACCTCCGAGCATGAACGCGGAGACCTGAGCTGCAGGCCACTGACCCACCGACCGACTGCCCGGCCAACCAGCGGCCCGAGCGGCTGCGGCCAGGTCTGGAGCCACGTGACAGGGGCGGGGACTCGCGGGAGGCTCGTCCCGCGGATCCTCTCCTAAGCCACCCTCCCGCCTTTCCCTGGGGGCCGCCCCCCTGTCACTGGCCTCCCTCTCGGGACCTTAGTCCGCCTAAGGTTCCCGTTCTGCAGCCCCGCCCCGCCCCGCCCCGCCCCGCCCCCGGAGCCTCCAAGCCCCGCCCCTCCCTGGACACCCCGCCCCTCCCTGGAGCCCGGCCCTCGCCTGTCACCCCCACTTGCTCCTGCACCCTCCCGGCCCGGGGAGGCCGCCGGGCTGGCCCCAGCTCTCGTGCACGCAGCTCCCTGCGCTTGTCCAGTTCCTCAGCACCGCTGCTTGGGCGTGGGGACCGAAAGCACCGAGGCAGAAAGGGAACTTGTATCGAGAATCGCAAAGAGAGAGCAGCCATAAAAAAAACGATTAGAGGCTCTCCCAGCACAGTAACCCTTGGGGTGCCCGGATTTCCCGGATCCTTGAGATCCGGTCCATTGACGTTGGCCTGAAGGCAGCCTTCGGCTCTGAAGACACCGTAGGGTCCGGTCACGCTTGAACCCTAGACTTGGGGTGGAGGTCCCTCTAGTGGTCAGCGCCAGCTAAAGGCAGGGCGCCTAGTCTTGTGAACAGTGGAGGACAAGAAATACTACCTGTGCCCAGCGCTGCGACCAAGTTCCACAGGCTCAAGAAAAGCTTTCAGGCTGTCTGACCACAAGGATTCTGGAATGGGCCAGGGCTGAACCCTGGATGCCTAGTTCTGGGGACTCCCCCACCGTATAAGGCCTGAATCTCCTTTAGTTGTATTGCTAGGTTGCTGCCCCTTATGGGCCTCCAAGGACTGGTTGCCCAGTCCAGCTGGTTAAAATCCTTGTGGGCCTCAGGTAGCACCAACACCAGGGAGTCTGGCATAGTCCCCAACTCTGGCAGGAGTTACTATAGCCCTGGCCTCAGACTTTTTATACATGCCCACAGACAAATTCCACAAGGTACATCCTTTTTCAGATTACCCTGGTGGTCTGAAATTACCAGTGTGCGCATAGATTTTTTTACATGTGATCAGAACTTAAGCCACCTGGTAAATATGAGTCTCTGGTCACCACAGGAGGCAGGCCAGAAGCAGCTAAAGGCAAAGCCAGGAGAGGAAGGCTGAGGCCCACAAGACTTGTGTTACAACAGGACACCCTCCAGTTCCCTTTCACTTCCTTAAAATAGCAGCAGGGAAGCTTTAGTAGGCCCAGGCTGCCACGGTTCATATGAGTTCATGGGTGTTTCCAAATCCCACATGTTATTGCCTGAACAGACCCACTGCCTTGAATCCAAACCCCGGAAAATGCTAGTTTGTTCTTAGAACTATACAATTACTTTCTAAAAATTACTTCTAAAATAGTAAGATACCAGCTTTTAAGTTTATTGCCATTTTGGAACCACCCTGGGGGAGGAAGCTTTAAAAAATATTATCTAGGCCCCACCTCTAAAGGTTCCTTTTTAATGATCTGGGCTGTGACATAGCATTAGGATTTTTAAAACTCCTCATGTGATTCTCATGTGCAGTCAAGTACAAGAACCATTGATATAGGTTATAGGGGCTTCAATGTTCACTAAAACCCAAAGGAAGACTCCATAATTAAAAAAGAAAAAGTTCACCTGAAGGAAGCCTAAGAGAGTGTACAGGCATGCTGTTCTGCCCTGGTGTTCAGCAAACCAAGTGGCACATTACCAGAGGCTTCCTGGAGAAAATGCCTTACCCTAAAAGAGCAATGCTAGTGCAGGAATTTAAGGCACAAGCGTGGGTGTTACTGGCAGGTACACCCTGCAGAACTGTCAAATCAAAGCGTATCGCAGATGAAAGGCAGAAGGCACATGTCCTCTCCCTGGACCTCCAAAGGAACTATGTGTTCCTCAGGACTTGCATCCAATCCCATGCTGACTACCCCACTCTCCCCTCCTCTGGGAGGTAGTCCACATTCCAGATTCCTGTGTAATATGTCCCCTTACCCACAGAGTGGGCAATATCATCTTTGTTTATTCATACCTGCCTCATCCCACAATGGGCTGGAGCTCTCGGTACCACCCACTAGGTCTATGGGTGATTGTGCTGGATCTGTGGGGTAATTCCATTTTACTCAAATGCCATAGGGAGAGAAAGACTTCTCTTCACTGCCTCTGGGCTCAGCCTGGGCTTGGCAGTGTAGGAAAACAGCTGCAACACACCACGCCAACCCTCTCATGTGACCAACCTGGAAAGAGAGGTCTTGGCACATGACACCGACTGGCACGACCACCTGCACTTGTGACCCCAGCGAGGCTGAGGCTGATGAAGGTTTGGGAAAGATCCTGAAGAAGCCCCTCGGGAGAGGCACAGCTCTGGTGGCAGGGAGTTACTTGCCTGCTCTCTGGCTCCCATCCAGATTCCAGAATATTTACCAAAGGCCTCAGTATATTGGGACTGTCCACCGGCAGCACTCCCCAAAAGCTTTCAAGCTGTGGGCAGATAGGCAAATATGAGCAGGTGAGGTTTATTTGCTTGGTGTCAGTTTTATTGTATCAATATTTCAAGCAAGAAGAGAGAAATGAGGGGGGGTGGTAAGACAAGAGGACACTAGAGGTGGGGCTCTCACCCTTAGGCTGTTTTTCTGGAGGAAGCGACTTTTGCAAGGACTATACAAGGTCTTGTGCAGACAAGAAAACTGACTAAAAGGCAGGCCATTTAGGCTGAAATGGTGAACATATTGCTTGTCAAAGGTTGCAGGGACAGACATACATATGGGAGGCTTCCTTGGGACTAGCAGAATTTTCTAACTCTATTGTCCTTTTGTAACTATGAATGGCTTGCCTAAACTCACCTCATCTCCAATTATAAAAACTTTATAATTCATCTTGAATTATAAAGCAATTATAAAGACTTGTTCTACTATCTCACAGAGTGAGGTGAGAACTAATTGAGGTGACATAGATGCATACACTTTGTAACTAGACCGTGGTTTGCAAATGTTCATATTTTTGCTCTATTTTTACAGCTACCTAGCTGGTGAAAAGGGCAGGTAGGAAGGGCTAGGGAAATTCAAGATTAAACATCAATAAGAAATAGTACTAGTAAAAGTAGAATCAGGTAAAAGGGGTCAGTGGTGTGGTGAAGGGTAGAATTGGACTTTTAGTGGTGAAATTTCACTAATACCATGATAATACCAATACTACAATATCACTATTGTAGTATATACATTTGATTTAAAATGATGCACACTTGAAACTTATATAATGTTATAATATATGTTATTGAATAATTTTTTTATCAAACAATTTAAATTTTTAAAAATTAAAGAGAGAAGAAATAATACTTTAGTCAGGCAGTGAAAAACAGCACAATATCAACAGGAATTTGTGAAGGAGGGAAGAACTTGAGCAAAAGCCAGAGGAGAAAAAAGCCAGGAGGATTATGGGGGGCCCTACATTTCTAATTGCTGGGGCTAGGGGGCAGTTAGAGTCAATGTTAATAAAAGAAAAGGCTCAAAGTAAGCTGGATCAAGGCCTTGAGAGCCAGGAGGTTTGGGTGGGTGATGGAAGTTGTTAAAAATTTCTGAATGACAGATTCACATTTAAGCTGTTGGAAGATACCTAAAGCAGCAACATCTGAGAAAGGAAACAGATACATCCCCCTTCTGGACTCTATCCCTGGATGTGGTTAGTGACACAAAGGGGCTGTGGACTCCCTGTCCTGGAGAGCGGTAGCCAGGCCCAGGTTCTCCCTCCCGGCTGGAATGCATTATTCTAGAGGCTTCTTTCTCTTTGTCTGGAGTTTGTAAATGATCTGGTTTCCATCATTCCAGGCATAGAGCTGCTTATCTCGGGGGTTGTAATGGATCACAGAGTGACTTCTGGCCCGCCGGGGGAAGAACAACTTGGGCAGGTCCTCTTCATTGATAGTGCCCAGTGGGTCATAGACACAAGTGATGCGATGGGGGCCATGGCCACCAGTACTGTAGACCACGTAGAGAACTCCACACAAGAGGAAGGACGCCTCAGCATCCTGGCTTCTGCATGGAGTATGCCACGAGTGCTCCACTCCCAGAGTGCCAGGCTCAATCTTTGTGAGAACCAAGTGGCCAATACCTGGTCCCGAGTGGACGGCCCAGAGCCCATGCTCATCCACAGCCAGGTCGATGTAAATGAAAGGGGAGTGCTGGTAGACCGGAGCTCGCCCCGCCCCTCCTGGAAGCAGCAGTCGATCCTCCACAGTCCTCTTCTGCAGATTATATTTGATGATCTCATTAGGAGTCCCTTGCCTATGAAAAAATAGAAAACCTTTGTAGATCACCTGCCCTGTTCCCTGCCAGGAATGTGTTAGGATTAATTTTCGGGGGGCTGGTTTGCTGCTGTCCTCCATGAATGCCCGTATGTTTGCAAATTCCCAAACAGTGTTGTTTCTGGATCCAACTAAGAAATAAACCTTTGGAGAGTTGCCAATAACATCTTTCATCCAAGACCCATCCGTGTCTGTAGTCCTCTTCACTATTTTCAGGGACTTTATCTCCATCAGCATATTGTCACAGGCTGGCCAAACAGGAGAAAAAAAGGGAGATTACTTGATAAACATGATGTGTCTGCCTTTCTCACACATTGCTTCCTCACCCCCACCCCCTGTCAGCATTTAAAATAAAATTATCACACAGAGATATCCCTGATGAATTACCTTCCTATTATCTTTTATTTCTCCTTCATTCATATGAAGGAGAACTATTTCCTTAACTTGTAAAAATGTTCCTATATTAAAATACAATTCTCCGCAATTAGGGATGCTTTTCTAGTTAACTCTCTCTTTCCATCATTTTATATAGCTCAATTTTCCTACAGTAGCTTATAGTCTATCTATTCTACCTCTCATTTTTTCACTTCACCACAACTCCATAGAAATTACTCTTCAGAATATTACCAGGGTTGAGGCTTCCCTGATGACTCAAGGGGTTAAGTCGCAGCACTATGAAGCTATCTGCAGCCACCACAGCACAAGTTCGATCCCTGGCAGGGAGTTACCCACATGGAGCAGCAGACCTCTCCTGCTTTGCCTGCTGCTCCCCTCAGCAGTGTATTTCAGTAGATCCACCTGTTTTGCTCCCCACTCTGTCTCTGGTGAATCCTCTCACACTTTGCAACTCTGGCCTGTACCCCAGTTCTTGTATGCATAAATTAAAATGCATACATTTAAAAAAATGTTAGCAGGGTCTTTGCAATGAAAAGTCTGACCTTTTATGTCCATATCTTACTTGATCATCCTTGATCATGTCTGTGATATGACAGTATTGCTCAGTTCCTCCTTGGGATTTCTTTTCCCTTATCTTTGTGTCACCACTGTGTGTCCCTCCCACCAGTTTCTTCTGCTTGTGACAGAGACAGTATCTGTGTTCATCAAATACCATTTCCTTTCCTACTTCCCTAGTTACACATTTGCAACCGCCTTTGTAGTTAGGCTGCATCCATGGATCTGCGGTTTGTTGATGGGATGTAGACAGAAGTGATGTAAGCCACTGCCACCTCGGTCTTTAAATATGCTATCTCCTGGAGGACCTTAGAATCTTGGAATGCTCATGGAGACCATGTTAAAAAGATATATGGGCTAAGATGTCATTAGTTCCACTGGTCATTTTGGAAAATGGTTATAATTTTGAATTATGGCCTTGTTGTTGGGACTGCCCTGTTAGGCAATGCTGACTTCCCTAGAAGCCTGAGGAACCCCATGGGTTTCCCTCAAATCCTGCTAACGTCTGCCTTGTGGGTAGGAGAAAATGGTCTTAGTCCTCTCTCACTGACTGCTGGAGGTGGGGTGGTGGAATGAGAATCTGGTATATAACTTCTCTCTGAGGACAGAAAGAATCATTCCAAATCCTTTCACAGGCTTTGATATAAGAAACCGGATGTGCTAATGGGTTGTCAATTTCTTAACTATTCTGGTTCTTCAGGTCAAGGCAGGCCATCTGGAGTCAAAGAAAAAGACACGGGGTAATAGGAGTGAAACTGGACACAAGAAAGAGAGGTATACAGCCAGGGAAGGCCCAATCAACCATCATCCATCAATATCATAACTTCTCTTCTCTCCTCCAGCCTCCATCACACCTTCATTCTTGCATGGAGATCTTGCCTCTTATTTCACTAAGAAAACAGAACTATGAGAGAACTATGGCATCTCTTGTCTGGTTTATGCCATGGTGTCCTAGGCAGGGGTCACACATCCACTCTCAACGCCCACAGTCCATCTCTGCAGCAGTCGCAGGGAGCTTTTTAAGTGTAAGTTGAGTCACAGCACATGTCTAGCCAAAGCTCCCCAGTGGTTTCCTAGCAACTCACAGTCACATATAACTGGAAAGTAAAAACTCAAGCTTTATTCTGAGTTAGCTAGGAAGCTATTGGGGAGTTTGGGTCAGTCATTATAGCCTCATGGCTTCCTCCCTCACTTCCTTTGGGTCTATTTTCAAATGTTCCCCTGATCGTTAAGGCCTTTTATGACTACCCTATGAAAAACGGCAGCACTCTTTTCCAGCTCTCCATAAACCCTTTACACAGTTAATTGTTCTCCATAGTGCTTATTATCTTCTGACATGTTATGCATTCCCGTTTGTTTATTATTTGTCTGACTGCTCTCTATAGAACTTTAAATTCCATGAGGAAATGTGCTTTGACTTATGTTTCATTCACTGTTGTATGTCATGGCCCTAGAATAGCAATTGGCACATAGTAGGACAAAGTTGCTGAATAAATTAATTTTCCAACCACGAAATGTACAACCCATTGCACCAAATCCTCCCCTCCTGCTCCCTTTACCTTTGTACTGGATCTCATCCCCTTTAACCTACACAAAGATTTAGCACCTGAAATGATCCCCTCTCTACTGTCTCAATAGTTTCTCCCTCACTACTGGATCATTCCCTTCAGTAATCAAACAAACAGGCTGTAAGATCATATATCCTGAATAAACTTTCTAGAGTGGTCCCATTTCTCTATTCTACTTTATATTCTACTTGAAAGGAGAGTTTTCATACTTCCAATTATCCCCTAGGTCAAACTAATCAGCTTCAGTTCTCCACTAGTCTAAACTACCCATCTACACCAAATCAGTTTTTGTCAGGGTCATCACCAACTGCCATGATCCAAGGATCAGTTCCCAATCATCATCCTAATAAACTTCCTGGCAAAATTTAATTACTTGATTGCTACCTCCCCTTGAATCTTTCTTCTGGAACCCCCCACTTTCCTTTTGTGTATCCTCTCATCTTTGGAGACTTTTTCCCTTGGCATCTGCTGCTGGTCCCTGCTCATCTTCACCTCACACCTCTTCTCTATCCACAATGGCTTTCCAAGTCATCTCACTCACTTGGCTCTGCATTCATGTACATTCTAAATGATGACAAATTCCAAAGGTGTATATTCATTCCCTTCTGATGTCTACTCTGTCCCAAACTCATTTATCAGACTGCTGTTCAATGTCCCCAAGTGGATATCTTCAAACTTAACCTATTCAAAACAGATCTCTATTCCTACACTCTCTGTCTCCCTGCTGTCTCTGTTTTGGACAAGAGTCATCAGCCAAGTTTCTAACCTGGAAGTCATCCTTGCTTCCTCTCCTTCTATTCTCCCACTGCCAACAAGTTCTGATGGTGAAACTTACCTTGACATTAGGATTTTACACTTAAAATGCTCACATACCAAACTCTCCCTCTCTTCCTACCTACTAGTCCCTTATGCGCTGAGAGCCCCCATCTCTTGCCTAGACTCCATAGTAGTCTCCTAACTGAGCTCTGATTTTATTCTATTAATAGTTTACCTACAGAGAGCTAACAGGCGCAGCAGACCTCTCCTGTTTCACCCGCTGCTTCCCCACTCTGTCTCTGGTGAATCCTCTCACCCCCTGGCCTCTCACCCCTCTGGCCTGCACCCCAGATCTACGCAAAAATAAATAAAATCTTTTTAAAAAATAGTTTACCTACAGGATATTTTCTGCAAAGAAGTACCAGTCATCAGTTTAAAAGCATAAGTAATGTCGTTTACTAGCTAAACCCTTTCTCCTGTCACACTTGGAATAAAATCTTAACCCCTTGCCCATGCTAAGGGACTTGCATGATATGGCCAGAACTTGTCTCTGGGATTTTATCCTCTCCCCTCTTCCCCACACTCTCAGTGATGTGATTGCATTGGCTTTCTTGATATTCTAGGAGGTGCCAAGTTTATCCACCTCAGGGTTCTTGCATTTGCATTCCTTATGCCTGTGGTGTCTTTTTTTCTTGATTTTCCCCCAGGTCTGCACCTTCTTATCCTTTAAATTTCAGTTTCAATATCATCTCCTTAAGAGGCTTCCTGTGACTACTGTGTCTAAATATGTCTTTCCTCAATTATCCACTAGAGCATTTTTCTTATTTCCTTGAGATCATGTAACTTACTCTGTAATTATCATATGTGTTTTATCTGCTCCCTTATTGCCCTTCTCCCTCACTAGACTAACACTGTACAAAAGCAGGGCATCTGTTTCCATGTTTGTTATTGTTCCCTACTGCCTGACACAGAACTTTGTGGCATCACTAAATATCTGTTAAACTAATGAGGAAAATAGCTTCATTCAAGCAAATGTTTTTCTAGGGTCTAAACAGTGCTGCACATCCGGCGTTCTGACCACAGACCTTCCTTAAGTAATAATAAATTGCAAAGTACTTTAAACCTTTTAAGATACTTTCAAATCCATTATTTCATTTAAAAATCTGACACAAGTCCTCATCAAGGGAATATGTGGGGGCAGGAGTGATGGGTGGGGGGTGGGGGAGGCAACCATAACTGGGAAGAGTCGAGGCCTGAGAAGGCCAATCCTTTTTGGGGGGTTTGGTGAGTGGGTTCCTTGGGTCCCTTTGGGGATGATTTTGGCAGAGTCCCTATTCAGTGGCACAAGGCAATTTTATTAAGGAAAAAGATGTTTGCATAAACAGTCAAAGGCTAATTTTAAAGGGGCAAGTTTATTAGGAAAAAGAGATGCCTGCATAGACACAGGTGAGCTATCTTAGGATAAGGTCTGTACTTGGCCAGAGCAAGGGGTATCCTTATATATAGTGTTCTTTGAGAGACTTCATTCCTTTGTGGATTTTCATTGCCTTGGGGTTGCACTGGGATGGTTTTCTCTAATGACAGAGAATCCTTTCTGACCCCACCTCCGCTTCCTAGAAACTTCCATAGTAGGTTTAACCATTTGTTAACCATCCCTACTCCCACCTCTGGTTTTTGACCTTGTGAAAATTTCCAGGCTAAATTTTCCTACTATAAACTTTCACACTCAGTGGTCATGTCATCCATGGCAACTCCCAGATATCCACACTCTGTCCAGAGCCAGTTGAGAACCTTATGCATTCCAAGAGCAGCTAACAGAAGACCCCCACTGGGCTGAGCTTTGGGAGCTGTAGATGGTAAGTGGAAGAGGGAGGAGTGCCCTGCCGTTCCCAGGGCCCATCTCTGCCAGAGCCCAGTGTACTCATTTTCAGTTTCGCCAGATGAGTCTGTCTCATGAAAATGCTCTGCTCTCC